TCGCCTGCGTGTGTCGCAATGATTGCAGATATGCCCCCGACCGTACTGCAGACACTCTGCTGCACCTCTCCAAAATTGTAGGTGACCGCTGACAGGAGGCCTCTGATTGGTCAAATCTACATTATTCGTATTTCCTGTTTGGTTCCTTACCAGCTTGTTTTGTTTGTATGAACGCCATTGTGGAAAACGACTCGTAAAGATGGACCAGCTAGAGGAGCGAGGTGCGCGAGAACGCTGGGACCCTTTTTCCACCTGGATCCCCGCTCTTTTTCGCCCTCATGTCCCTCCGTTGTCGTACAAACCTGCCCCTGCTTCCTCACTGCCTCAGCCGTATCTAGACCCACAGCTAGTTCCTGATTGTTCCGCTTTCATTGTGGCATGGAATAACAGCGCAGACAACGCTTCAATATGGAGCATAAACCAATAATATCTGCGACAAGCTCACTGCGACGCACCGCTGCAGGAGGATAACCTGCCCTTTAGTGGCCACAGGTTGCTGACCCCTGACCCAGACGCTGCTTGTTTCAAAGTCCTGATCTTTACTCCTGTCATGTTTCCCTCCCTTGTCTCCGAACTCACCTATTTCACTCATTTCACTTCTGCAGGGTGCAGGGGCTTATGGGAAGGTGAGTCCAACTGCCCTAGCATGGAAGACCGATTGGTTCCTCGCTTCTCATTTTTGCAAAATCACAAAAATTTCCATTAACATGTTTAAAGGAGCGCCTTCATCCGCATGCCACCTAACAGACATTCACCGATGCACGAGTTTCTCACTACAGGATTGTTTGCATTCAGGCATTCGATGTTCTGGGAGTTTTGGTTGGTCGGATAACCGTCATTTAAAGCAAAGAAGTCGATTTCTGGATTTGTTAATGAAATGAATAATTTTTAAGAAGTTTAGGTTTTTTGAGTTTTCTTTTCAACTCAACAAGAACAATTGAATTCAGACCTTTATCTCTGAGAATTTTAGAAATTATCAATACAGGTTAGAAAGTTTCTCGTTTCCGAAGCTCAAACCAAATATTCAACAATATCTGGGTACAAATCACAAAATTATAAGTTTGTGTCACAAGTTTGCAAGAGGAAATCACACATTTCTAAGTAGAAATCGAGAATTTAGAAATGGTAATTATGAATTTATGAGTATGAATAACAAGTTTGAAACATGGACTTAAAAATCTGAAATATGTGTTTACAAAACGTATTAAAGCTTGAACCAAATTTATAGTAGAAATCTCAAATTATGGAATTAGGATTAAGAATTTCCAAGAAAAAATCACAAATTTAACACTACCACGAAGATTTACATTTGAAATTCAGAAATTTGCCCTACAAATCTACAGAAACTCATTCCGTCTAAAATCGTTGTAGATTTGGGATTCATATTCATAAATTCATCAGTTTGATTTCTAACTTAAGTTCAACATAAGTTCTCACAGATAAAGATCTGATGTTACATGAATCGAGCTGCATTGACAAGAAAAAAACACAAATCTTAAATGTCTTTACGTTATTGACTTTTATTCACACATTCAGACATCAATGCATTCATTTTTTGTTATCCTGATAGTTTTTTTTTCCCCACAGAGAGCCCTGGAGATGAGTAGAGAGGAATACGGCGCTCTGCCTGCATGGAAGCAGGTGAAGCTGAAGAAATCTAAAGGACTCTTCTGAAAGAGCAGCATTCAGGATTTCTGTTGGGTTTTTTTTAACAGCGGAAAGTCAGAAGCAGCTCGAACGTTTTGATGGAGAACCTCTGAGATGTGCAGTAGAGGTGTGCGAGCTTCTCACGCTGCGGTGACGAGTGGGGAAACGTGGGTGTAGGAACCTTGTTTATGGTTATGATTGTACATAGCTAGCATAAAGAAAGCAGCCATCTGCTGGAGTGAAGCAGGTCTGTAAGCCTGCTGGACGCTCCTCTCTGCTCATGTTTGTGCTACAAAAATCATATTTATATTAAATCCACAGAATTATATAAAAAGAAATAAACTTTGTCTAATAAAAACAAAAATAATTGAACTTTATTGATCTCACATTGGAGAAATTAACTCTGCTTTTAATCCATTTAATCCATTCCCTTGGCCACACAATGGCAGCCCACACAGGGTCTTGCTCAGGAACCCATAGCGAAGGCTGTGGGGATCAAACCAATTACTGCTCCAACCACTAGGCCAACACTACTCCAAAATAAAAGTCCAATGATTAATGTGAAGAGAACGGCCTGAAGAGGTGCCTTCAGTGTATAGTGCCTTGCTACATGTACAGTTTATATACAGAACCTGTTCTGGTTTGTCAAGAGTTTTACGATGAAAATAAACCGATAGAGAAATGAATAAAGTTTGATATCCATGCAGTTTGTGTTGCACCTTATTGCTCTAAAATATGAGTTGAGCTGGTGGTATAAGGTTTTATAACTGGTTTTCACCCAGTTTAACCCATCAGATGGCAGTTTTCGGCTAAAGGTTTTTACACTGCAAAAACTGGTTTGAAAATAAGTTTGAATATTTTAAATTAAATT